TTAAATTACTTTACTTTTAAGATAATTAACTTCACATTAAAGAAATAAGACATTTCCAAACCATCGAAGAATTCAATACATAATTAATTTGACCTTCAATTAAAAGTGAATTATTATAACAAAAATAGTAAGAAACTACCTTAAATAGTATTAAATTTTTTATTATTCATCGAGTTTGTTTTTTTAATTAAATTATGATTAAATATTTTATCATACATTAGAAAAAAACAAATAAAAATAAATTAAGTTGCAATATATATATCTAGAAAGGAATTCTAAAAATCTATTGATATATCATTTATTTGATTTATAAATGATTTTACTTTCAAATTTCAATATTTTTATTAATATATTAATATTATAATTGGGTTTAGAAAAAAATTTTTAATTCTTAAAAATAGGAATATTATATTTTTATTAGAAAAAATACAAATGCAAAATTTAATAAATTTATTAAAAGAGTCATATAATTAAGGGAGATTCGAAATGATCCATAAAATGATTTGAGATAAAGATTATTATTAATAATTATTTTGAAAAGGTTTTGTAAATAACCATTTACAATAAAGATGAAGAATAGAATATTACAATCTATTAAATAATTCACAATAATATTGGTTATTATGAATCGGAATATTAAAAAAAAGGTCGTATTATTTTGTATGATTAAATTAAGTGATTTAGATTTTTATTTATTAAAAATAACAATCAAATTGTATTAAGGAATTTTAGTTAATGTATATATAGTATTAGAACTGAAAATTTAAATGTTAATATTTTAGATAAGAGATTAGGATTATTCTGTTCTATAATTATTTTATTATATTATGATATATACATTAACTCCTGAGTAAGCTTAGGTTTCTATAAAAATCGATAAGCCCAGCTATTATCCTGGTGAGATTATAAAAGGAGTGATATATTTGAAAATCAAAAGTAAGGATATTTAGGCAGGTCTTTTGTATATAAAAGTAAAAATTCAAATAATACAATATAGCTTTGTGGTCAAGAGAAAGTGAATTAATTAGACTAATATAATTAATACTTTAGCTTCAAATAGTTTATATACAAGAAACAAAAAAAAATAACAGACTTTGGAAAGTATTTTAATTAAGCTGAATATTAGAAAAATGCCAATAATAGCTTGCAAAAAATATTTTGAATTAGAAGTTCCATTTTTATATCCAAGTTTTACAATTAATTATTACAAAATGGTACAATGCAGGATATTATACTTTTTATCTGTTAGTTTATAAAGCGAGGATGAAAAAATTTTATATAAAGTACCGAAAAAAAATAGAGTCGTAGTTCATATAATATAAAAATTGGCAATTTAAAATGCAATTCCGATAGAGTATTCAGGAATTTCAAAAATAGTAAAAAGGTGTTGCTTTTCAACAGGGGTATAGTAATAAATAAAAATAGAATACAAAAGTAAAAATTTAACTTGAAAAATTACAATATATATTTGGAGACAGTATATCATTAATTTTATAGGTTGATAATAGTTAATCAAATATAGCAATATAAAAATTTGAATTAAAGATTTCATCTTAGTTGATAATTTTATACAAACAATAAAAAAGAAAGTTATCAAATTATTTTGAAATCTATAAATAAGAATTAACAGGTAATTGATTATTTTATTTTAGAATAAATTTAAGCGCATGCATCAAAATAAATTATGACTAATTTAAATTTACCAATTGGTAAGGGGGATGATAAAACGGCTATTTTTCCATAAAGTACATTAAAAACAAAAAGAATAAGTTATTAATATATACTAACTGTGAATGTAATTTTTGCGAAATAGCTATTTATTAAAGTAGAAAATCTTGTTGTATCAGTTCCTTTGATTTTAATTCAAAATTAGAAGAGAGAAAAAAGTAATGTTATTTAATCAATGGATAATTTAAGTATGATTGGATCATTGATTGAAACAAATTAAAGATTGAGTACTAGTTAACTAAAAAAGTTGATATATGGAGATCATAATTGTGCTGGATATGGAGAATAAGATGGTTATGATGGATCTGAAAGAAAATATAATCCAATTGAAAGTTTAGATGAAGATGCATTAAAAGATGTTAAAGGGGCTTTAGAATAATTAATGTTTAAAAAATAATATGAAGAAGATAGTGATATTGATGAAAATTTTGTAGATGAAATAGAAGGAATAAGTTTAAATAATATCAGTCTTAATTAAATATACTCATGTCAAGAGAAGTAATCTTAAAAAACAATCTTTAATGAGAAAAAGAAAAATGATTTAAATTTTCTTAATCTAAACAATGAATTAAAATAAGAAAATAATAATCAAGAACATTTGTAGACAATAAAGGAAGAACAAGAAAGCAAAGGAACATAATATAATCTTAATAATAATGCTTTATCTTCTTCTTAAGTTAGAAAAAATTAATAGATAGAATAAATAGAAAAGATAGAATAGATTGAATAGATAAAATAAGTTTAGAAAATAGGATCTCTAAATAAAGAATTAGATTAAATTAATTAAGATGAATTTAAAAATAGTCCTAATGATAGAACTATTGATAAAAAAACTACAATATTAAAAAAAAATAAAAAAAATTCATTTTCTATAGAATAAAATGATTAAAAAGAATAAAAATAATTGAAAGTTTAATTTAATGATGTTACTTCAGTTGATACTCTTGATGGAAAAACAGGAGAGAAGATAAATAATTAAAAATAAAAAAAATGAAATTTAATGAAAAACAAATTTTGAATTGAACATTAATTTTTCATTTATAGTATTATTTGTAATATTATTTGAATATATCTATTTAAATCTTATAATATTAAATTAAACTAATATTTTATCATAAATCTTATTCTTATTATTATCCTACAAACTTTTCTTCCTCTTCTTACTCTTTTTCTAAAATATGACTTAATTCAACCAAACTAGCATCATTTTGTATTTCTTGATAAATTGATTATGTTAATTTAAGAAAATAATAAATTATTAATAGCACAGTAATAACCATTCCTAATTTTAGCCAAAATGGAACATAATTGCTAGTATCCCCTGATTATAATAATTCAGATAATGATTCCAGATTTGATCCCATATATACCCAAAATGCAGCCCAAGCAACTGTTCCAAATATTGTTGGATGTATGAATTGCCAATGAGTTATTCTAAATAATCCACAAGCATATGTTTTAAAAATTGTCGGAATTGCCAAAAATTATATTAAATACATAACTTTCACTGGTTTTCTTTCAGTTGCTAAATAGCATGTTATAAAATAAATGTTTTCATTCATTGCCATATATATATAATTTCTTACACAATATCTCCCTATAAGAAAACCAAAATATCTATTAAATCAATTTAAATTTTACTTTGCTAAGAATTTAGCCAAAGACACTGCTAATAGAGCAAACCAAAATGGTTTAATCAAATATCCAGCCAAAATATCATATAGTACAACATTAAAACCTGTTAATACAAACCATAATCCAATTAATCCTATATAGAATGCTCCAACAATTTACCCTAGCTAGAATTATTAATACCTTACTCACTAAAATTATTCAAAATATTATAACAAAAATATCTAAAATCCTAACCCCAGTATAATAGCAAAACAAAAGTTATCAATATTAATGAATAAAGAATCATAATCAATAAAAGAATTCTCTGAGCTTTATCTCTTTTTGGATTATTCTATGAATTAATTAATTTTGCTCATTTACCATCATACTTTCTCCTTCTCTCACTCTCTGATACTTTTCTCTAAGTTCTTTACTTTAATCTTCATAAAATTGCTATGAAATTATTTACTCATTCATTCGTTTTTTATTATTTTATTATATACTTAATTATATAATAAAAAATTAAATAATATTTTAAAATGTGTTTTATATTGTCAAGTATCAATGATATTTTTAATATGCAAATGATGGAAAATAATAATATTTAAAGTTAATAAATATATGTATATGGGAAGAATAAAAAGGAATATTTTAGAAGACAGTTATGACTTCATAATTTAAAATATTGTGCTTTTGTCATAAAAAATATTTAACTATATATATAAATATATATAATGAATCAAATCTAATCGAATTCTTGAATTGTTTTCTTGAGTTAATCACTATATGGAGTTTCTGGCTCCTCCTTAATAACACCTAAACGTTAAGAGAAACCCAATTTTTATTGTTGCTATTACTAAGCTTATTTTTATGATTGAACTTATAATTATTGTTTTTCTTCTAAAGCCTCAAAGGAGGAATTACTGTCACAAAAATTAATGACATCAAATAGATCTTTAACATCATCGGTGGATTTAGCAGTGCATTTGGTAAGACTAACTGAATGGATTGATTATTAAAAGTGGATAGATTTTTCTCTGATTTGCTAACTGGTTTCTTTGTATGCAATAATGATTTATCCATGATTTTTAGTTAGATCTCTTTTATCAATAATTTATTCATTAGAATTAGAAACAGATTATTGTAATATTTTCATATTTGCTTACATAGACCTAACTAAACCTAAAAGAGGTTTATCACTAGACGTAAGAACAATGTCATCCTTTGATCTGATATTTAGATGTCTAGAGATAATCTTAGGTTAATAAAGCCAAGGATGAAGTAAAGCCTCTAAAATTGAATAATAAATAAATACAAGCTGATGTGATTCGTTTATCTGGATTCCATTTTAATATTCTTTTAATAAAATCAATAACAATAGGAGGCAATTTAAGAAATTCTGGTTATTTCAAATGTTCAGTATACTCAGATTAAGTAGAGAAACTATCCATTTAATTTTCTTAATCAATAGGTAATTTGCCACATAACATTTAATAACAAACTATTCCAATAGCCCATACATCTATCTATTTAGTATATCCAGAACCTATCCATAATTCAGGAGCTTAATAAGGCATTGTTCCAGTTACTGTCCATAACAGATTATTTTTAATATCTTTACAATTCTTTTCAGCTATTAGAAATCTCTTAGAAACACCAAAATCAATTAATTTAATAGTATTTGTATCATTATCAAATACAATATTATCTGGCTTAATATCTCTATGACATAATCCAACTTTATGAATATATGATACTGCCTCAAACAATTATCTCACAATTAAACATGCTTCATTTAGATCTAAAGTTTTTCTCTCCTTCAAAATTTATTACAAACTTGGATATGGCAGATATTCCATTACTAAATATGAAAATTCCATATTTGGATCTATGTAAAGCATATTTGTCTTGCAAATATAAGGATGATTTAAAGAAACTGTATTAAGAAATGTTTATTTCATTATCTCAGTTATTTCAGGATCTGCATTCCGAGAAATCTTAACTGCATATGTTTCATCTGGATTTTTTATTTACCAACATTACCTAACTACAGCATGGGCTCCTTCACCTAAAATTTTTCCTATTTGATAGATATTTTTAAATGATTGTTTCATCTATTCAAATTGTTTCTAATTTGATAAATAATCTATTATTTTAGGTGCATCTTCTTTAAATTCACTTTAACTTGAACAATGAACATATTCTAATATTTATGGACATTGATTTATGATTTCTTCAACATTCTATTTTTATTAATTCTCATTCTTAAATAGATCACTTCTCAATTTATTTCTTAATCTTTCAAAGTTACCTTTTTTGTCCATTTTTATTTGTTATTTATTTTTATATATATTTATATCAAGTAAAAATTTATTATTTCATTAATCTATTCAACATTAAATTGCAATTCTCAATATTATTAAATGAATTAACTCATCCATATACTTCTTTAAGATACAACATAACCAGTAAAAGCTTCTGAAAATTACTTTAAAAATCCTAAAAAACAACTCTATTATTTCTTCTCTAAGAATCATTATTCCACTTTACCTTTTAAAATATACCTATTTTTATAACTACTTTTTAACCAAATGTTGGAATTAAAAATAAAATAAACAATATTTTCATAAAATGTTTATTAAAGCTTAGTAATCAATTATTATATTGATTTTATTTTACTCTTAATTTTATTTTAGACAAATTACATCTTTTCAAACTAACAAGCTGCATAAATATTATTAATTATTATAATAATTGATAATATTCTTTTTAATATTTTAATATCACATTTTTTCATTTTTCCCCTAATGTTATATTACTATAAATCTAACAATAATAAATCAATCTCAAATTCTTTTTATTAACATTAAATTCATTTTTAATTCCTTGTTTTATGCTAATTAAATATAGTTGATTTTTTAACCACAAAAAAATTCTGAAAGTCTGAACTTAATTTTTTATAATTTATTTTATGAAATAATTTCTTAAACTTTTTATTATTTTTGGAGAATCATAAATAAACAGAGAACTTACTTGACAATTATTATGTGCATTGATATTATTCGAACCCTTCACTATTTTTAAAATAGTAGATTAAAACAATTCAACAAAGTAATAAGTTAATAAATTTTATGAAAATTGAGAAAGTCTCATAATATATTATAAATTAGATATTCTTATTCAATATTTAGAAAATGTTAAAGATAGATCATGAAAGTTAAATTCTAATAACTTCAGAAAAACAATATTGCCCTAAGAACATTCTGAATTGACTGAATTATATATTTTAAAATCAAGCTATGAATAATTATTTTTTATTACTTTATATTATATAGATAAAAATGTTTTGACGTATTCAGATATTGAGAATTAATTAAAAAATTTATGGTAGTTTTTTCTTACTTAGAGAAATCCCTTTAATTAAATAATATGATATTTAATATTAAGAAACGTGAGATATTGTATTTTTGTGAATAGATGAATAGATTATGAATCTTTAAGCAAAAATTTTGTGAAATTTTTCATTTTTAAAAATACCATATTTTGAAAAAATTAAAGCTTGAGAAATGCAATAAAAATTTCAAATAATGGCTAATAAAATTTAAAGATAATATAAAAATTAGTGGCTATTTATTTCAATAACCTTAAATAAATTTTTATAGAGAGTTATTACTTAAAATTAGAATAGTATTTTTATTATTAATGGTTAATATAAACCTAATATTAAAATTATTTATTTTAATTAATTTATAATGAGTGAAGGAAAGTAATTTTAACAAATTCAATAATAAAATGAAATCCTTATTGGAATGCCTAAATCAGGAAATCCTTGGAAGAAACTTTCAACTAAGTATGAATAAATCATGATAAAATTAGATCAAGTTCAAGAAATAAAAAATTTCATAAAGTTTCATGGGAAGAAAAGTAAAAATAAAGATAACAAAAGAAAGAATTACAAGAATATTTGAAAGAATATAAGGCTGAAAAGGAGAAAAAGGTATTGGTTTGATTTAAAAAAGATTTAAGAAGAAAAATTGAGAAAAAAAAATAAAAAGAAATAAGATGAATTAAATAAATATAAGACTGCTGATCTTTAAATAATAAAAGAATCCAAAAATATTAAAAAATGGACCAAAAAAGCACGTAATACTTTGGTTAAATTGCCTGCTGAAATATTTGAATAATTACTTGAAAGATAAAGAAGAAAATGATTAAATTAATATTATTTTTATATTTCGAAAAATTTAATGAATTAAGAATAAAAATATTAACATGATTATACAGTTGATATAAAGGAATTATAAGTGATAAATAGGCAATAATCTTTGGTTTGGAATACAATGATTGAATCATATCAAAAAAAATTGAATCACTTATAAAAGAAGCTTATGATAGAAAAAGCTTAAAAAAATTTCAACTAGAGTCAATAAGAAATAAATTAATTGTATAAAAAATAATGTCAGGCTGCAGCAGACTCTTATGAACTTGATTTATTTGAAATAAGAAAAGCAGAACTTAATAAAAGATTTGATTTGGAAAAAGCTATATTAAATGAATAGTTAAATGAAAATAAAAAAACTTATGAATAAATTAAATAAAAACAATAACCACCTTAATTAGAAAAGCCTAAAGAATGTTAATTTATTACAGGGGCTTATTCTGATTATACTTTGGTACTTGCATTACGTAAATCAATTAATTAATGTGAATAAATTAATTAGAAAACATTTATTTCTCTTTAAAGTTTTTACCCAGAATGCTATATATCAAATTTCTAAGATTGTGAAAACATATCTGTGATTGCTATAAAAGACATTAGCCATCAAGCAACAAAAAATTCAATTAAAAATAACTTAATTTTAGCAAATGCAGATTATAAAATTTTAAATTGTTACAAAGTTAGTTACGACAAAGAAAAGCTTAATAAAGATTTGATTTTTTAAGAAGAGCTAGACCATAATATTGATTTAATTCATATAACAAATACTTAATAAATAATAGTAAAAAATTATCAAATTAATAGGCTATCAGTAAACTTCGTGGTTTTATTTATTTATTAAATAAAAATTATAAATAACTCATATATTAAGGAGACCATGTAATTGGTGAATCTGTATATTATGAAAAAGAAGATAAGTTAAGAGTGTTTAATCAACATAAGATAGTAACAATTTCAAATTTGTAAACAAGGCCAAAATATGATGAATTGCTAACAGATCAATACAAAGCATTAATCTATTTTTAAACAAATTTACCTAATTTTCATTTACAGTATATTTAACATCCATAGATAATTAATGATCAATATTTTGTATATGTGAAGTAGCAAAATAAAATAAGAATTTATGATTATTAGTTTTAATAAAAGAAGTAGTTTAAGGTTCAAACTTAAAATATTTAAGTTGAGTTTCTCAATTTTTTTGCAAAGACTAATAAAATAGTGTTTTGTGATAGTTAAGGATAAACATATAAAGTGGAAAAATTTACAAATCTTATTGGGTGATAAATGATATATATATTATAAATTAAATAAAATAGGTTTTAATATCTACATCTTTTTAAAGGAGGTAAAGAACAATAAATACGTTTTCAATTTAATAAATTCTAGATCAATAATTTTTTTAATTTTATAAATGGTTCTATATGTTCTACTTTAATTTAATTAAATTAGATTTCAAGAGATTATATTTTAATTTTGATCATAAGTGATTTTTTTTTGAGTTTTTAAAAAGATATATATTCTAATTCATTATTTATGTTGTAATAAAAGTTTTGAAAGGTATTTTAATGATAGTTATAAATTACATTCAATTTTATTTTTAGTTAATGATTATTTATTTGTATGATTTGAAGGATTATTTTTAGAAATCATAAATTAAGTAATTATAATTTAATTTAAATAAAATAATGAATAAATTGTTTTTACAAAGATACAGTCACTTTGCTCTAGCAAATCCAACCCTATTATTATCTCTATCATAGACAGAATAATATTTGCTTAAGAAAGTATCACCTAAAATCCAAGCTGGTCCTTATGGAAATGGAATGTCTAATGGCATGAATGTTCCAATACATTCACAACCTCCACCCATTTCTAAAAAGCTATCTGTTGATGCAAATGATCCATATGCAATCTAATATTTACATTATAAATTTACTTCATTTCCATATGAATCAATTTTCATAATATAATCATGAGCATCAAGATCATAATGAATACCATCTAATACAAATGTTAAAGTTGGCAATTCCTTAAGATTCTAACAATTCTCATCTATATTAAGATTATCAATTAAATCATATAAATCATCAGATGGACCTGTAATTAATGAAGTACCAGTATCTGCAATTACACTGCAACCACCTTTACATAAACCAACATCTTTTCCATTTACTAAAATGTTATTTGCTTCCAATAACCAATAAAATTTATTTGCAACGTTATGAAAATGTAATTCTCCTTAAAAATGATCTTAATTCCAACCACCTAAAGTTAATTCTGAATTTCTTGATCCTTCTTATCTTGAAAAATAGAATGAAAACACATTTCTATCCAATAATTTTTATTGCATAATATTATCAAATAATGGATTAAAATGATATGCAGCCATTGTTGGATATGCTAAACCTACTATTCCATCAAAATCAGATTATGCAAATACATCTCCATTTTCTCTAACTATTTCTGCAAATTCTTATTTTCTAATCATTACATTTCCTAAATATGCAGTATCTGCATTTATCTATTTAATTTATTTATATTCTTACCTCTCCCATCAATTCTCCAGTACCAAATTCAACATCTAAATCATATCCTAAGTGTTCATAAGTTAAGCTCTTTTAACCATCATATTATTTATGATTTTTGCAGCCATAATCATTACATCTTGCTGAATTTAACCAGATATTTGCTGAACCAGTATCAAATATAACCTATATTATTTTTAATCATTTAATTTACTTTAAATTTGTTATCTTATTATCCAAAACTAATTTCACCAGTATATTATGTATTTTTAAAATTATATAATTTTATGCTCTCCTTTTACTATGTTTAACTCAAAGATATGTCATCCATTATATCTCTCTTAGATTTAAAATGCTATCCAGTTGTTATAAAATCAAATAATGATTTTCTGGCCTAAGATTAAGTTCTCTCCAATTTTATTGTATAGATTTTATTCTGCATTCCTGGCTACTCTTCTAAAAAAGATGCACAATAAGATGATAAGATCAAAATAGAAATAAAGTAAACTTATTTCATTTAATATTGAATGTTTTCTTTCAAAAACGATTATTTTTACCATAAAGTGAATTAACAGAATCTATTCATAAAACACAAAGTATTAAATCTTAAATTTTATAATTAAATTATAAATCTTATCAAATCATTCACATTAACATCAAAAATTATTAGATAGATCATCTAAGCATGATAGCTTAAATTTTGAAATTTAAATAAATTATATTTTGTATAATAAAAAATTAGTCCAATTCCATAAAATTAATTAAATAAATGTAAATACTAAATAAATTAACTAAGAATTAATAGATGATTATATTAAAAAAAAATTGATCATTTTAAATTATATTTTTATAAGAATAAAACTTTTAAAAATCCTCAAACCTCACATACGTTTTTCTTACCTTCTTTTGTAGCTTATAGATAGATCTAAATAGCTGAACTCATTAATCCTCCTAAAGCTACCAATCCTCTGTTAAATCTTGTATTTAACTATTTTTATAAAAATGATCATACTAATTTTTCTGGTATTTATGCTTTTTACATAGCACATGCTAAATCACCAATAATTCTTAAAATTAAAAATCCAAATTGATATCTTTCTTTTGTCAAAGCTCTGATTTGTGAAATAAATTCTTGATTAGTCATACCATTTTATATTTATTACTTCATCTCAGACTCTCTCTTTAGTGATAATATTTATACCTTCTAAAATTTGATCTTAATCTATTTAAATAAAAAACTAATTAAGTCAATAGTCCAAGAGTCCAAAAAGAATGAGATAAAATTTTCAATAATTAGTGATTAAATTTCTTCTCAAAAAATCCCATCTAATGTATTACCATTATATTTTCAAGAAGATGGAAAAAGAAATAAAATACATAAACAGAATAAGTAGACATTTCATTAACAGCATAAGGAATTTGATGAAAATGTTTTTTTAGATTCTACATCTGTTATTTCTGCAAAATATTAAGTATTGTTTATAGACTTTTTCCTAATCTAAACAATCTTCTAAACACATAAATTTATTCTATTTTAAATGATATATATTTACAATAAATCTCAAAGTTCTATTCAGATTTCTTATTATCTATTCCAAGAAGCATATAGCTTCTTAATAATTCCCAATTTTAGAGCATTTTTAAAATTTTATCCCTATTTTCTGTTGATGATTATGATTTTTACCTGCTGATGATTAGAATGAAACGAATTTAGACAACATCAATTGAATGATTAACTTTTATATTTATAATAAAATATGGAAGTTTTGAGCATAGTTTAATGAAGAATAGATTGATGAAATAAATAACATATTTTTAGATTATAAAAAGGTTTTATAGATATAGGTTTCAAAAGTTTGATTGTATATAATCAAGTTTGACACTTGAATTAAATTGATAAGCAAATTGATCCATTAATTTTTGAGTGTCAATTCTTTGTTGATTGAGTCTCTAAGAATAACATAATATAATACTCTCATTTTTTCTTTTTCTATGTATATTATGTTTTATTATCGAATTTAATTATGTTCTTCTGGTTATTCTGTTTTGAGGTGTTAATTTTCCATTCTTTTATTTTTACCTAAACTAAAAGCATTATTCATTCTTGTTTTGTGAGTATTTACTTACCATTTATCTTTATTATAGATAGTCTTTTTTGGTGTTTCCAATAATTAGTTACTTATTAGATGGCTAGATTTAAAGTTTTTGTTAGGGAGATTAGGAATGAAATATTTTAATTGATAAGGAATATTTTTGAGTCTTTTAGCTCTCAAACTTTCCTACATCGGTGTATATAAATGCATTTGGTTAGGACTATTTATTTAAGTTACTGCATGTTTGTGTAATCTCTTTTCAGTTGATTGACCTTTATTGATTGATAATATTCCTATCAATATTTATTTTTTTTTTACTTGATCGGGATGTTGTAGTCTAGGCTTCTGATTCAAATCTAAATCCTGATTCTAATTTTGGCAATGGAAGAGTTAATTTCAATTTTCTTTATGAATACATTATTTATTGATTAAAAAAGATGATTTCAGTGTGTAGTTATAATTAATCTCAATTAAATATGGTATTTTCAAATTTTTACCATTTAAATTAAACTACATTAGACTGTTATTAATTACTTTTTGTAATTTAGAATTCAACTCAAACTAGAAATATTATACAACATTCTAAGAAATTATAAAAATTTGTTAACATTTCTTATTATTAAATAGTTGAAATAATTTGTTTAATTATGTAATAATACTATTGTTAACTGCATTAGTTAATCTTTACTTAAGTTTGCCTTCAATAGGAATGCACAAAAAAAGGACCATTATGTGATAAATGTCTTGATACTCATAAAACTCATATTGTAAAAAATTTAGAAACTTATATGAATGACTATTCAAAATATTTAAATATGGAGTATCAAGCCTAAATATTATAAAAATTAGAATAAATGAAATAATACTTTCATGATAAAATTTCTTAATTACAAATAGATGTAAATTTTATTGATGAAAAAAGGAAAAAAGAATTATTGAAATAATTAAAATAAGAAAAAATGAGTAATCAATAATATGAATCAAAAGTAATTGAATTAATTCAAAGAGATTAATTAAAAGATCGTGAATATTTAGAATAATTCTTTGAGCAAATAGTTGAGATTGAGAAGGATATAAAATCCTAATTTTCATAATTACCTAAAAAGCTTGTACAAGTTTAACATCATCATTAACCTTCACATTAATCGTAGTAAATAATAAATAATAAATCTAATCTTTCAAGTGAAGTAAGAGAATTATCCCCTTAATTATCAAATAGATCAAATAAATCTAAAGAACCAATATTTCAATAAAAATAATCTAGCCAATCTCCTCTTTCTAAATAGTTACTTTAAAGAGATTTGATGCCAGTTGGTTCATTTAATAATTCTAAGTTAAAAAATTATTTCACTGAATTAGATTCTTAAATTTCTCCTTAAAATTCATTCAAAATTACAAAGCCTTTTGATATTGATAAACCATCAAATAAGCATAGTAGAATAGATGCAGAAAGATCAAAAATAAAATCACAAAATACTTCATATGATTAATCAAAGTATCTTGAACCATCAAAAAATACTTAATAATCTTAAGTTATAGAAGTTCCTTTAACTAAATACTAATATGAGAAATCATAAAAGATAGATTAATCATAAAAACAAAATTAAACTCAATTTATTCCATAAGAACAGCCACATTAATAAATGACTAGTTATTTTACAAACCCATTAACCTTAACTCCAAATGAAAATATTTCATTTTTTTAAAAATAACCTTCAAATACGAAAACTCAATCTTTTATTAAGACAGAAAAATAAACATAATCAAGTTCTAATTAATAATAAACTGAGTTACATTAATAATTTTACAAAAGTTAAACAAATCTTCCCTAAAATTTTGATTTTGATTAAAAAGTTTAAAATTCATAGCTTTAAGAAGTTCAATAATTTCAAACACCCTAATAAAGTACAATTCTTAGAGAATAGGAAACAAACAATTTTTAAAATGGTATGAAATTGTCAACCTAATCTGCAATATCAGGAATATATAATGAAAATAAATCTTAATAGGATATATCTTTCATTAGTTCAAAGTAAACAATTTTTATAATTTTAGGTCAATGGTTTCTCCATAAATTAAAATAACCTAAAATTTGCCAAATCCATTACAAATTGAAAAAGACTTGACTTTAAAGGCTCATGATAAAAGTGTTAAAGATTTATGTTTTATGGATGATGATAAAATAATTACATGTTCTAAAGATTGGAGCATAAAAATTTGGGATAAGTATAGTTATGAATTTATTAGAAAGGAGAACTAAATAATTAAAAATGGAGTTGAAAGATCACACAGATTAAATACTTTGCATAGCATTTTCTTAAAAAAGAATTATAGCTAGTGGATCAGTTGATAAAACAGTTAGAATATGGAAACCTGCTCCTTCTTGGAAAATTTCATTTGTTTGTTAAGGACATTAAGAAAGAATAAGATGTGTAGAATTTGTGGGAAATTTTATTGTTTCTGGGTCAGATGATACAACTTTAAAATTGTGGGATTTTGATGGTTAATTATAACATTCTTTTAAAACAAATGGAAGAGTAAGTGCAATAGCACCAGATAAAAACTTTATTATTGTCGGAAGTGGTAAAAACATTATGGTATTTGATACAAAAACTAAAAATAAATAATAAGATATTGTAGGTCATAAGAATTTGATTCTGTGTTTATTATTATGCAATTAAACACAATAGAATGATTAAATATTATTAAGTGGATCTAAGGATCATTTTATCAAAATATGGTCTTATCCTAAGATTTAAGAGATTAGAACTTTAGAAGATGATTATTCAATTCATTCTCTGTTTTTTGATCGTTCTTCTTAATACCTATTTGCTGGATTAATGGGCTTCGAATAAGAAGGTAAGATTTCTATTTGGAAATTGGATAATCAACCAAAAAAAATGTAAGAAATAATTTCTAATCCATATGGATGCAATAAAGTATTGTTTGATGGAATATATCTCTATAGTGCGCATGAAAATAAAAGAATGGAAATTTATGCTATTAAAAAACTTTGATAATTATTCAAATCAAATTTTAATTAAAATCAATTCTTCTATATTATTAAATTTATTATATTTAAATTGATCCAAATTAATATTGAAAAAAGAAAAATAATTCATTCACGTTAGTAAGGCAATATGAAAAGGCTATTGTAAATATCTTTTATCTCTATGCTATTGTATAAATATCGTTAACTGAATAATCGTTTAGGTAAATAATTTAAAGGAATGATTTTCCTCAAAATTAGATTCTAATAATCCTCTTTTATATACTTTTTATAGTTTATACACGATCTTGAATGATTTTTGTGTAAGAGTAATAAAATTTATATGATAAGAAGGTTCATGGAATCTAAAAGTTCATAATAATTAAAAATTTTATTAATGATATTATAAGCTAAGTCTCTATTTTGGAAAAAAAAGTTTTATATCTTTAAGAAATGAGATTTAGAATTAGAACAAGACGCTATGAAAAAATTAACAAATCCTAAATAATCTAAATATTATATTTGGATTTTTCAAATAAGTAATGACAAATTGAATGATTATCTAATTGTATTTTAGATATTTCATGCAAAATAAAAGAAGAATGATTCATCTTTATTTATTTGTGCATTTAGGAGTCTATTAAATTATAGAATGTGATATTTATCAAATTTAAAAATATAGTAAATGAAATAATCAACTTGAAATTAAATGGAATACTAATAGAATCTATTCAAAATTGAGAAGCTTTGGAAATGATTGCTGGAATCAAACAAAGATCTAAAGCTGCCAATCTTATTCATATAACACATTATATTAGATTAGTAAATAGAATATAATTGAATCCTGATAAAACTTTATAAATCATTTTAAGAGATATATGAATAATTAATTTTGAATGAAAAGCTTGAAACTATATAAATATATTGTTTATTATGTAAAGCAAGTCTCATTTGACTTAAAATATCAATAAATGAAATATTTGGAAATGATTTAAGAATTTCAATAAATTAGAACCCTACAGAATAAATTTAATTAAGTCAAAGAACGTCATGGTACAAGATGAATTTAATTAGAGATTTAATTGAGAAATTGATAATTAATTAAGAAATCTAACAAGAAAAAAATTAAAGAAGTCTCTTTATAATAAATTTTATTATTGATTAACCTAATTTCAATTTGAATAATGACTTCCATTCAAAATTAATTATATTTTTTTTATTATTTTTCATTTTTTATATCCTAAGCTTTATAATTTATATTTATATAATTGTATGTAGATTTTGTATATAGATTTTATAAAAATCATTGATTTTTCATTCGAAAATTAATGCAAGCAAATTATCATGAATGACAAATATTTACAAAATTATACTTCTCTATATTTTCTAGATTATAGAATAAAGATGATTTTATTCTACTTAGTTCATAAAAAGCTCTAGTCATAATACTCTTCTTTAAAAATTATGATAATAAAACAAAACAAAATCGTAAGGAAATTTTGCTTGATATATATCTAATTTTATTAATTGTAAATAAATTTTGATAAATCTTGAGTATTTATTAATTAATATATGTTCTCGTTTTAAGATTCCTGATTATAATATTAAATATATAAACTAAATTTATCAGAACATATACAAAGGGAAAATAGTAAAGATGTTGTTAATTTAGGTAATGAATTAGATAAATTAAATGAATTTTCTTCAGTCGTATAATTATTGCATGTATCCTTATCGTCCACCAATATATTATAATTTGTATGCAGAGAATATTCAAGAACAAAATTAAGCTGCTGCAACATATAAACAGGAAGTAGTATAATGGTATATTTCATTTTGATATATCTATAGGCTTTTCAAATAAGAATAATCTGTATTGTATAAACTATTTCAGATAAAGGGATAAATAAAAACATTTCCAATAATGAAAATGTATATCCATGATAAACAATTTCAACCATCAAATTATGCTCTTCTTCAACAGTTAATATTAATTAATTATTCATAGAGCTACAATTAAATTAGAGTCTAAAATTGATGATTAGTTTATAATGAAGACACGAATACTTCACAAAAAAACAGATGTACATTATATAATTATTGAGTTTAGGAACTATTTGATAAATTGATTATTTTTGATGATGAAAATTTTCTAGATACTATTATAGTAAAAGAACCTCATTTAGATAATTTAATTGATTTTCTTGAATTGTTGGATGAACTTTCTGACAAATATTTTTTATCTACTTCTGCGAAATCAAATTTAGAAAAAGAAGAGGATCCAGTTTGGTTTCATTAAAATAGTTTTCATAGTTGTTCATCATGGATTATAAAAGAATTCGAAAAAAATATTAATTTTTATTACAATATTCATAAAGAAAAAAAAAAAAAATACCAATTTTAGAGATTGACAATTAATAAAAATAACTCAAAAGACTTATAGGAATATTTTGAAAAAAATTTAGCTAATAATAAAGAGAAAGTACAGATATTAATCAATTTATTAGTTGAGTTTTTATTTTGAATAAATTTATACAGAAATAAAAGGAAATCCATAGAAGTTAGAAAATGTTTTTTATGAAAATATATTTTCAGGGACAGCAATTAAATTAATTAAATCTTAAGTGGAATTATCATTAAATTTTTAATAAAAATGTCATACTGATCCTAATATTATAAATTCAATGTTAATTTCTTAAATGTCAGATTTATTAGATTAGAAAACATATTTTTTAAAGAAATTTTATTCTGTTGTAATTCAATTATTTTAGGAAAATTTGGAAAAAGAGTTATTTAATAATGAAACATCAATTAAAAAGAAGAAAGATAAAAAAAAGACAAAGAAAAAAAAATCTGAGAGAACTTAATATAAGAAAGTTCTTGATCCTATAGAATTAAATTAACGTCTCTCAAGTAAAAATTTACAAGAATCAAACATACTAAGATTTTAGAGATCTTATTCTCAGAATAATTATGTATATACTTATGTTACTCCTCCGAATACACCTTCAGAATGGGAACATAGTGATGATTAAAAGTATAAATTAATATCTTATTTAAGTGAAATAAATTATCAATGTTAGAATCAAAATAATGAAAATAAATAAAAAGAGAGTTAAAAATCAATTGATTTAGGATAAACAAATATATCTTAAGCATTTGTAGAAAATATAGAAAATCCTACAAATGATGATTTTGTAGAATATACACAGTGTTTAACATAAAATATTCTATAAACAATATATGAATCTTTAGTAGATGAAAATAGTTATAAAGAAGAAGTTATAAAAGAGAAAAAGAAAGTAAAGAAAAAATAGAAAACTTTATGGAGGTCTATTCCAGATAGTAGGGATGAATAAATGTAATTATTATCTCCATAATCTGAAATTACAACAGAAACTTAAGCTTAAACAATAAGAAGTCTTTGTTCAAATAGAACAGCTTCAACTTCAGAAGAAGAGAAAAAATAAAGAAGAACAAAAAAATTTGTTTCCTAATTTGACTAATAAGAAAAAGAATAAAATTCATCTTATAATCAAATAAAAGATAGAAGCTTAAAAGAATAGATTGAAAATACACAATAAAGAGGATAATAGAAACTTATTGAATAAATTAATTATGATATAATTGAATTCACTGATAGCATAATGAATGAATATGAAGATATGTTACCATTTAGACTATTAGTTTTTGATAGAATTAAGTTAGTTATATAAAAAGTATTTTATGGAATACCAGATGATATGATATAGTAAGTAATATAATTTATTTAAGATTATTTGGTTCTTGTGCAACAGGATTAGCTTTAATTGATTCTGACATTGATATTGGTATTAGTGGTTTCTAACCTATGAATAGAAATGTTATTAAAGCTCTTTTTGATAACTTATTTTTTGAATTCTCAAAAAGGAAATGGGTTATAAAATCAAAGTATTTAATTATTACAAACTTAGTCCTATTTTTAATTCAGTTGTTCCTGTTATTAAATTAGAAATTGATCCTTAAGTTTCTTAAACAGAATTTGAAGGAAGAAATCTTAATGAAACAGATATTTAGAAGTGGAAAAAAATTAAATAAAGGATAAAATGTTGCATAAAAGTGGATATCTCCTTCAATTTTAATGGAAACACATATAATTCTCCTCATTCTGGGTTTATTACTACAGATTTAGTTAAATAATGGATGAAAGAATATCCTGCTATTTAATAATTAGTATTAATTTTAAAAAGTATAATAAAAAAACTAGGATTATCTGAATCATATACAGGTAAAAAAATATAATATTATTAAATAGGTGGTTTATCTTCTTATTCATTAATTATTATGGTTTATTCTTATCTAAGAGAAAATAGAGTTACTTAAAATTAAATAGGAGAATTATTTATTGATTTACTTAATTATTTTGTTAATGAATTTAACTCTTCAACAACAGGAATAGGTCTTTTAGCTGATATCAAAAATCCATCCTCAAGGTATTATAATCATATATATTATAGCTACTTTTTTAATTTATAAGATTATTGTTTACCATAATTACCAATAACAATTTTTAATCCTTTAAATAGAAAACTTTTAACTAATACTTGTGTTCATATTGCCAAGATTTTTGATTTTTTTAAAGTGGCTTTAAATCAACTTGATTAAAGAAGAGAATTCTATTGCAATTATGTAATTTTAGGAAAGAAAAAACAATAAAAACTTAATAAAACCTTGGGAAATTTAATCACTAACTTATTAGAATCAATAAAATGAATTAAATATTGAATATTGTATATAGGTTATTTATTAATTTTACTTTTAGAATAAACTCATTTAAAATGAACTTATATAATATTAAAATTAAATTGATTTAAAAATTTCATAGCATTTATAATTGTATATTTTTTAATTTAAATTAAGCAAATAATAAATTATGTTTTCTTTTTAGAATTTGATATCATATAAAAATTAAAATTATTATAATAAAATGGGAAATTAAACTTTTTGTAGTGATGACAGAAATTAATTATAAATAAAGAATAAGAATCAAAACAAATAAAAGAAAGTGAATTTAGTTCAATAATTTGCAAAATTAACTAATGAATAATCAGATAAATAATCATTAATTGAAATACATTCTAATGAATAAATTTCAACTGATTCACTAAATAATTGGCTTGAATGTTTACATGAATCTGTATTAATAAGTTAGCTTGATCTTAATTGTAATGTATCCACAAAGTTTTTCTCTGAGATTGATGATGATGAAGTAATAGACGATCCTAAGACTTCAATCATTGATTAATAAAATTTGTATGAATATCGAAAAAACTATCCTTATTGTGATTCAATTTTAGATATGATTATAATCAACTTTTATGTATTAAAAAAAAAAGAATTTCGGTATTATTTTATTAAATTATTTAGATAAAAACTTATTGAAGGACCTCCAAAGTAAAGAATCAGATGGTCTTGTTGGTAATTAATGGCTTATATACCAAAAAGTTCTATTGAATCTGATCATCTATCTTTTTTAGATGAAGACTTAAAATAATCATATGCAATTAAAAAAGATACACATAGAACTGTTTCAGCTAAAAATATTACATACTTTGAAACTGGTGAAGGAAAGAAAGATCTTGAAAAATTATTAATTAAACTAACCAAATTATTCCCAAAACTTGGATATTGTTAAGGAATGAATTTTCTTGCTGGTTTCACTTTAATTATCAATAATAAAAATGTTACTCAAAGCCTATAATTCTTGGCATAAATAATGACTAATCCTAAATTTTTAATTTATTATCTTTATTCAGATGAAATGCCATTATTAAAATTACTTGAGTATATTTGTTAATAAGAAATCAAATTTAAGATACCTGATCTTTATAATCATATTTATAATAAATTAGAAGTTTCAAACGCATTTTGGTTGACTAAAATCATAATGACATTATTTTTATATAATTTTCATATCAATAATGTTTGCAGATTTTGGGATTTTATATTAGCAACTAATATATTTTAAATATCAGCAATTATATGCTCATTTCTCGAAATAAACAAAAATCATATATTTAAAATGGATGAACTGAATACATTTATTATTTGGTTTGATACCTTATAAAATTAAGAAATTTCTTAGAGCTAAATTTAAATTTTAATTTTTAAGTCCTTCGATTATATCATTAAAAAAGAAAAAATAAATTCTTATGCTAATTTATTCTGCACAGGTCATCAAAATAGTCATCTTCTTTTATAAGAAATTGCAAATGAATATGAGGAATGGACTAGATTAAAAAAATTTATAAAAAAAGATGTTTTTGATGATTGATTAATTTTTTATCATAATTATATAAATAAATTTTTAATATCTCTCTCATCTCAAAGTATTTTACTTTCAAGGTTTAAGTTTTAAAAATTATAAAATGTTAATTTTTCTAATCATTTAATATTTCAATTATTTTTATCCTTACTTCATTCATTATAAATTTAAATATTCAATATGTTCAAAAATTTATTAAATCATTTCTAATTTTAATGAAATTTAGTTAAAAATTTTTATAATTTAATTTTGAGAGATCAATAAAAAACAAATATATTTATATTTAATTAATTATAAATCTCCCAAATACACTAAAGTCTTTAATAAATGATAAATAGTTTTACAAATCTTCAATTTGTCAATAATTCAATTTCTGAATTACTCAAATATTATTGGCTAATAAAAACACAAAAATTTAATAGTTTTTATTAGAAAAGTTGAGAATTTATTCTGATCTACCAAAATTTCGAGGTAATAAGCTATGCCAAAGTTGCTAAATAAAAAGATTATTTTTTTATTTTATAATTTACTAAATGGAAATTAATTAAGACACTCTAGACTTTTTATTTAAAGAATTATGTGCTATAGCTTACTTATAACAAAAAACCTAAAATGAATTAAATGATCTTTATCAATATTATACAATGTAAGAAGCAAGACTAATGAATCAATTTTATCATTATTAAACGATCAACGAATAAGAATTAAAGTATTGATAGAATTTAATAATTTAGGCTAGTGAATAGATTTATTGCAAGAATTTCAGAAGCTTTTTAATTAATGATAGCAAAGAGATAAATTGCGAGATGCAAGGAATCAAAATTTTAACCAACAATATATAATTGTCTGACTTAAAATTTTGAAGGCAAAAATAGTCTTATATGTTTATTGATTTAAGCTATATATAGAGAGTGCAGACTTTAGATTGAAATGATAACGAATAAGAATTAAAAAATAGAAGCTAAAAGAGTAATTCTTAATCAATATTAAGATACACAGTCAAGATAACAATAATGATGAAGATAAACTTTAGAATCAATTCTATTCAGTTTAAGTTACAAATAAGAAAAATATTTAAAATGAATGGTAAGTTAATGTTAAAAATAATAAAAAGTTGAACAATTTTTATTCAAAAGTATTTCCAAAAATATATGATGCAATTAGCAATATTGATAAGTATATAATAATTTAATATTCATTTATAGAAGTTAGGATGAGTAGATTCTATATTTCTAAAATAGAGAATAGAATATGGATAGAATATTTAATTAGTTACTTTAATAAAATTAGCATATTAAATAATCATTAAATTGGTCAGTTGATTTGGACTAAGAATTATATAAGAATAAGATTGAATAAAAATTGTAAAAAATAAAATTATAATAACTAATTCCAAGTAATTAATTATCAACTTAATCATCTCCTACTAAACCTTCTCAACCATCAAATAAATCAATAAAACAAAATGCACCTATAAGTCCATTTAGAAATAATAACATAAATAATAATAGCAAATTAGATAAAATGCCTTCCATAAATGTAAAATTTAGAAGCATTTCTCAAAATGTTCCAATGAGTGAAACTAATTTTAAGAGTTAGAACATGTTCTTGAATCCACAAATATAAACATAAAATCCCAAATCCTAACAATATTATTCATCAGAAACAGAAAAATCAAGTTTATTTTCTAAAATAATAGATAACTATAAATAAAATTAATTTCAGCTAAATAAGATTAAAATTGAATTTAAACCTAAACGTTAACATTGTTCTGTTCTAAAAAGTAAATTAATGATAGATCTCATACCACTTCATAATTCAAAATTAAAGCCTAAAGCCCCTCGATATTTTTTATAATAAGTTGTTCCATAAATAATTAATTGATCCGATTCTTCATGTATCAAAATTTGATTTTTACCTTAATTTTTAATTTAAATCTAATGATTATGAATAAGAATATTGTTGATAAATCAATACTCATTTATTAATAATAAATTATAATTGATTAAAGGCACTTATAAAAATGAAAAAAAGATTAAAATTTTTATATTTTAAATCATAAAAATCATATTTGATTCTTTTTAAGGAGATAGTTGCTAATTGAAATAACCGATTGAATAAAAAAAAGAAATTTTATGTTAGTTTTAATTAGAAATAGTATTTTCAAATTTATAAACTTTATTAATTAATTATTATATATATGGGTTGTGGAACTTCCGCCAATAATGAAACTGTTGATACAGATAGTAGAAAAGATATAGATGATTTAATGGGTAAGAAGATACCTAAAGTAAAAATTTATTAATTGATATTATAGTTTCTAATTCAACCTTAATACACAACTTAAGGTCTTTAAATATCGGAAATGTCTGATGGAGAAGACTAAAAAAATGATATTTAAGGAGACTATCATAGACAAGGAAAAAAAGCGTAGAAAAAGTTTAAAGGTGGAGATGAACAAAACGTGCAAATAGTTGAGAATATTATTAAGTTAGACAAAACAATTCAAAGTAAGACATTGAATGAATAAAATAGAGAGTGATAGATAAATGATTGAGAAGAGCTTTAAGAGTCATTTTGTATTTTTTAATCTGACTCAATAAGCAATAGATTTTCTAATTAAAAATTTAGTGTTTTGTACATAGAAAAGAGATTAGTTCATATTTTAATAAGGAGATTAAGTAGATAAGAAAATTAATTTTAGGCCACTTCATATTTTATAGTACAAAAAGGTCAAGCTGAAGTTATTATAAATTAAAAATAAGTAAAAGTAATATCAGAAGGAGATTATTTTGGTGAGATTGCCTTATTGTACAATGCAACAAGAAGTGCATCAATAAAAACCATAAGTAATAATATATATAAAGTGTTAAGCTGATTGTAATTTTTGGATGTTAGACAGAGGAACATTTAGAAAGGCAGTTGAAGATATGATGATAAAGGAGTATGATGAGAATAGAAAGTTTATAAATGAAGTTACATTCTTTTCTTTTATGACACCTGAATAAAGAGATTCAATAGCTCATGCATTGATTACAACAAAATTTGAGCCAGGAGAAACTATTGTGAATGAAGGAGATTAAGCAGATTCATATTATGTAATAAAAGCAGGGACAGTTGGTGTTTTTAAAGGAAAAAAATAGATAAATACAATGGGTCCAAAAGATAGTTTTGGTGAATAAGCTTTATATGAGAAAAGCTCAAGGGGAGCATCAGTAAGAGCAGAGAGTGAAGTAAAATGTTTGGCATTAGGAAGAGATAATTTAACAAAGATATTAGGAGATAAAGTTTAGCTTATTATATTTAATAATATAATGAGATGGAGTCTAGAAAAAAGTAGTATTTTAAATTAATTAACTAAATTATAATAAGAAAAGATTACATTAAAAGCTAAGATTCAAAATTACAAAAAAGGGTAAGTGATATTTTAGAAGGATTCTAAATGTGAATAATTAGTAATAGTACTAGAAGGAACACTATAGAGTGATGATAATAAAATAGGAAAAGGAAATTGTTTTGGAGATGAATATCTAAAAAATAAGAAAAATGAATAATTATAAAGTGATTATTTAATGGTTACTGATGGTGTATTAGCAAGCATTTCTTTTGCTCAAATGTTTAAAATACTTGGAGGAGATTTTGAAACTGCTATAAAGAAGAAGTTTGAATCGCATGAAGTAAAAATAAAAAACATAGCAAACAGAGCAGATGCTTCTCATATCCGTGTAGAAGATCTTGTTTTTATTAAGAAATTGGGATCTGGTTAATTTGGATGGGTTTATCTAGTTAAACATAAAGATATTGATTCTTGTTATGCTTTGAAGAGTGTATCAAAGGCTTCTATTGTAGAATAAAGTCTAGAAAGGCATGTATTATAAGAGAAAATGGTATTAGAATTATGTAATTTTCCATTTGTTATGTAATTTGTAAGAACATTTAAAGATGAAATATCTGTTTATTTTTTAGTTTAATATATTAGAGGAATGGAGTTATTTGATGTAATCAGAGATATAGGTTTATTAAACAAAGAATAGACATAATATTATATTGGAACTATGATTTTATGTTTAGAATATCTTCATTCAAATGGAATAGTGTATAGAGATTTAAAACCTGAAAATATAATGGTTAATTCTGAAGGGATTATGATGTTAATTGATTTAGGAACTGCAAAATAAATAAGTAAAGCTAAGGGTCAAAGGACATACACCATAATTGGTACTCCACATTACATGGCTCCTGAAATCATTCTTGGTAAAGGTTACTCTTATCATGTTGATTTATGGAGTGTAGGCATTTGTTGTTATGAATTTCTATGTGGAGGAGTACCTTATGCTGAAGATGTCGAAGTAATTCTCATATTATAGAGTAGGATCCTTATGATATCTATGAAGAAATCATGAATAACCAATTGAAATTCCCTCACTTCTTTAGAGATAGATCAGCTAAAAGGTATATTGAACAATTACTCTCTAAATAACCTGAAGCTAGATTAGGTACTTCATATGCCGGTTTAAAAGCTCATGCTTGGTTTGATGATTTTGATTGGGATAAATTATTCAGTCATTAATTATAACCACCTGTATTTTATATTTGTATATTAACTTTAGTTTATTCCTCCTAAGGAAAGATTGATTGGCGATTTTGAAATTGATAAAAAGTTTTAATAAGGAAAATTAGTTGTCTCAGAAATTAAGGCTGAATAATAACAATAAAAAATTAAATATAGAAAAGAATTAGCAAAGGATCCAAATTGGGATAAATCATTTTGATGTAGACATATGTTTTAATTAGATTAAATATTTTATTGTAAATGTACACTTTATTATCTCCACTCATTTCTTTGTTTCCTTTGCTTACTTTCTTTTCTCTTTAACTCCCACAAATTTAGCATTGTACCATTCCTATCTTAATCTTCTGTAAACATTTTTAGCTCTTAATTCCTTAGAAATTACAGTAGCTTTTTCTCTCTTTGGTGTTCTTTAGAAAGTAATAACCTAAAAAATAATATTAAATTAATGTCTACTTCTGGATTTGTATTCTATGTGACTGGTTAAGCAACAATATCATTTGCTGAGTCTTTTACAACTCCATTCTTTGGTTTACCAGAAACTCTTGGGAATAATACTAATTTTGATAAATATGCCTTAATTCTTTTAACATTAACTGCCAATTCTTCTTAACTGTTATTTCTTCTTCTATGATCAACTGCTATTCCTATTGTTCTTGCAAATTATGCATTAAGTCCTGCTTCTTTCAATTCAATTAATGAGAATCCTCTTCCCAATTTTTATACTCCATTGTATTTAATTGTTTAGCCTCTTACAACTGGTCTTAATAATTCAACTGATCTTGGAGATGCTCCTATTTAATTATTAATTTTAAGTACTTAATGCATTTGCTTATCTTCTTTATTATCTTCTTCTCTTAGCTGCTGGTTGATTATAGAAGGTCTTTACAAATCGTGTCCAATGCTTTCTTAAATGGGCATTTGGGAGTTGTTAATTATGCTTCATTTTTAGAAAATTTAAAAAATAAATATATGGATATTTAAAAAATATATGAAATGTCTCAAATGAGAAATATTTTCATATAAAATTCATTCTTCAAAGTTAAGTAATTATCCTCAAGGATTGTCTATAAATTTAATTAACTAACTTACTTCATTGATTACTTTCTATTCTATTTTCTTTCACTAGTAATTGGAATCTCTTTATTGTCTTATCCCTTTCCTTATATTATATTGACAGTTTTTAACTGAGAAATAGAGTTCTCAAAGCGTAACTCTGTTTTTTTAGTTTTATTCTCATCAAATATTTCGACGAGTTTTGGTTATATCATAATATATGCTTTTTAAGTTTAGACTAACTTATTTTCAGAAGGTGATTTCTACATCATTATTGTTTCTTGAGAATTGTCCCTAAAATATATTCTATAAATAAAAATTCTTACAATGTATTAAGTATAAACGATCTTGTTTATTGATGTGAACGACTAGATGACATTGTTTTAGATGCTTTCATTAAATGTCAGCTGAAATTGATAAAAATAAATTAATTTATAAAAATCGATAAGAAAATCGACTTAAACAATCTTAAAAACCCACATTCTAATTGAATTTAATTTATATAATATTCTTTAATACCAATACAAAAATTACTCTATTTTTTGTTATTAATTTTTATTTCGTAATCCCTTACTTTATTTAAAAATACTATTTATATATCATTTTTAATTAAATAATAATATTAGTAGAAACCCAAAAAAATATCAATCTAAATTTTATGAATTAAATTTCTTAACTACAACTAAATTTAGATAATATAACTCAATTTTAGAAATCAAACTATTATTCAAAAATTATGACAAGATGTCAGAGTAAAAACTGCATAAAAATTTTAAAAACACTTTGTATATTAATTATTGAATTTGAATGTTTATATCTATTCAGTCTTTAGCTGCTCTATAAATTTTGTTGCAAGCATCTTCTAATAATCCTAAAAGAGACTCTTAAGATTCTTCTCTTAATTTTTTTTCTTCTTCTATTTCACTCTTAACTCTAGAAACCAAGTCCTTTAACATTTCAAATATTGCTGATTCAGATTCCTCTCTTTTATGATTTATTGTATCAGTACCTTAATTTCTTCTAATTTCCTAGACCTTCATTCAATCGTTTAATTTCATCTCCTGCTCTTCTTAATGTACCATTATCACTATCTTCTCTATCTTAACCTTCAGCTTTAACCATATCGTATAATTTTGGTAAATCATTTTCTAATGAAGTTGTAATATTTTCTGTTTATTCTGATCTAATCTTTCCCTCTGTTTATATGTCTGATTTCAAATATACAACCTAATATTTTATTACTTTTCTACTTTCTCATCTAAGTAGCCATGTAATTTAAGATTTCCATCTTTTCTCAAAGCAATTTCTTGTTCAAGTTTAGTTGTTATTCTACTTTCAAAAGCAGCAATCTCTCTTACTCTTTATTCAAATTAGGTTTCAAATGCATTATTTTCTTCTTCTATTTGTTTTTAAAGACGAACTATTTCATCCTTTAATGTATGCTATATATTAGTATCAAATTTATACAAGTTTTCTATTGTAAGAACTTATTGTGTCTGACATTCTCTCTTCTACTCCTGTTATTCTTCCACAAACGTTATCTATTCTATGTGCCTTTGAAGAATCATGTTATAATTAGATAGAATTTAGTTTTTCAGAGATTTTAGAAAATCTTTCGTTGAAAGGTGTATTTGGATTCATTTTTTTATTAACAAATTTTATTTAAGTATATATATATATTTTAACAAAAATGGATATAAATAAATTATATAAATAAATTATTTCCCAATTAAAGAAAAAACAATAAAATATTAAGTCTTTCATATTTATAAAAAATATAAAATTAAGTATTTTATCATTAAATTTTATTTATTATAATTTTATACGCTAACCAAAATTTTCTATATTACTCTCAATTCTTTTTTAGATTTCGATACTAGCTTAATCAGAAAATTAACTATCTCAAAGTTTTTATCAACTTAAGAAAAATTATTAAAAATTTGAAGTTTTCTTTAAAAGGATTTTACTTTACTTGTGAGTAGAGTTTTTTTCAAATGTTAATTTCCTACTTGATATAGATTAAAACCCTCTTTTTATAAATTTATAAAATAAAATTTTTTTAATATTAATGGATAAGTTTCATGTTATATTTTAAAGATAAAATTTATTATCTCGTACAATTTTATTTATATAAATGTTAATTTAAAGATATCAAACTTAAAATGATAAATATGAAATCAGAAATAAGAATGAAACAATTAGTTTTGAATCAAATCTTGAAAAAATATATCATAAAGTTTTATTTTCCAAATATGATGTTTTAATCTCTATACCTAACTATATTATTGTTATGATAATGGTAAAATGGAATTAAAATAGATATTGCGGTAGGTTAATAATGAAAGAAAAATTATTTAAATTATGTTTATAACTATTGATGTTTAATAATATTTTATAATTATAAAAAGGACAATGAATATTTAAATTCATAATAATATATTGTAGTACAAGGTTCAAATGGGCAAAAGAAAGTTTATATACCTATAAGGAACTTTAGAATCCAAATAAATAATACATTGAAATAATTAAAGCAAAATTTAAAAAAAAGTAATCAAAAAATAAATATATAATTACTTACGTCAAAATGATACTTTGATTTATGATAATGTGTCTCAAATTCAAATTAAATTTCAACAATATTTTATTAATTATTATATACGCTAAATGAATAAAGGAAGTGAAAGTGAAGAAATCTTAGATCGATAAAATTATAGCAAGAGTTTCAAGTATTTTATTAAAACATAACAATTTGTAGGAAGAGCAATCGACCACAACATTACTAAAAGGTGGACGCTAATTTACGATAATAAATTATAGACTAAGCTTGTATTAAAGGGCAACCCCTAAGATAGGTTTTATATGTAATAATTTGCTTTAGATTGCATAAAACTTAGGAATAAAGTATTCTACAGCTAAAGCAATTGTCTAAGTATATCAAAACGAAGGCAGAGTTGGGAAGAAAAGAACAAGAGATAAACGAATTTATTAAGAAATAGAAACTTACATCTTAATTGTCAATAAATAAACAGGAAAGATAGAAAAATTGAAGCTTAAGTCTGAATGTAATGATTTAAAGACGAATTTTTCGAATGCTAAGTTAAAGTAAAAATTTGATTAAAACTAGTACAGTCTTGAAGAAACTCACTACTCTTAGATTGCTCAATGCTTGGGAAATTATAATCTTTGTTTACCTCAAGAACATTATGAACAATAAAACGAGAGCATAATTAAACTAATGAAAATCTTAAATGAATAATACAAACAATTTCAGGAATCTGATGAAAAAAATTATGATAATATATGAATTATTATTAATAAAAAATAGTTAATAATATGTTCTTAAGCCCAATTAAGTGCAATTACTAACTTTCAGTAAATGATTCTTGTGGATTTTAACAACATTAATAATTTAATCAAATATAATTAATTTTTATATTAAGAATAGTATATTCTTTTTATAATTAATTTGATTTATAATTAGATCTTCTCTCTATTATTCATTCAAAAATATATAAAATAATTAATATAATACTTTAAATAAATAGACTTCAATTATTTTTTTTTTATTATTTGATTTTAATATTTTTTAATGAAAGTTTCTTTCCTCTAAAATATCACAATAAATAAATACATATCAACTCCATTATTTTTGAGTAATCCATATTTTTTTGAGAGAGGATCATCTAAGTAATTCTCTTCAAAAATAGAATCTTTCCAACCTACAGTTTCAGAATAATAGTGTGATTATTGTATATTAGATATTTAAGGTTTTTAGAGACTTTCATTAAGTATTTTATTAAATTTTAATTCATCAGTTTACTATTTATCTAAATTTCCGTTTTCTAATTAAATACTATCCATGCTTTTTTTAACATCTTCAAATTAATCAAAAGCCACTAAGGATTTTTCATATATAGGTCTCCTAGAATTATAAGTGCTTAGCATAGCACTACCTTAATTAGAAGCTACACTAGGTTATTGAGAATCTGATCTTCTTAAAAGTGGAGGTTATAGTTAATTATTTTAAGGAGGAGTTAAAAAATTATTATTACTAGATTATCTCATGAGATTAATATTCCCCTTTTCAAGAGATTTCTTCATCTCTTATTAAGTTGGAGGTAGTAAAGCTTAATTGAGAGTTGTAGATCTTTTCATTTCTTAAGATTTTACCATTTCATTTGCAGAGATTTTTCTTTGAGAAGGTATTTCCCATTCATAAGTATAATCTAATACAATTCCTAAGCCATCAGCTGACTTTTGAAATAATTTGTAGATGTAATTATAATCAGGTTCACTTCTATACTGTAATGTCTTTAAATATCTTAAATAAATTGATTAGATACTCAAGAATAATTGGAAATTCAATAGGGACATCTTTGCATAACTCTCGAGGATCTATTGTCATTTTCATTTCTCCAACTTTGGTTGTTCTCTCTTCATCTGTAACATTCTGCATATTTTGCCAAGGTAGCTGCCTAGACTTTATATATTTATAAGATATCTACCCCTTAATAAAGTACAATAGAACATACATTAAAGACTCTAAATCATCTTTTCTACTTAATTCAAATCCTTTATGTGCAGCTATTGATGCATATCTTGTGGTTCCTATAAAAGAAGTTCCATCTCGAAAAGGTCTTAATTATATCATAAGAATACATTATTCTCCCATTTTTATCTAAATATATTTTACTGATTCCAAAATCTACTACAAATATTTTAGACGATTCATTTTCCAAGCCAAATAAAATATTTTCAGGCTTCAAATCCCTATGTACAACTCCTTTTTCATGAATTCTTTACAAAACTTTAACAATTTATATTCCTAATTAAATTGCTGTTTTTATAGAAAACCTTCTTTTCTATTTCATATAATAAGCAAGATCTTTTCCTAATAGCTAGATTATTATGATATTATAATCATCCTATTCTCCATACCAATATAGATTTGGGACTCCTTCTGTATTTGATAACCTTTATAAAACTTAAACTTCTCTTTCTAGAGATTTAACTTCTTGATTTTCTTCTTTTTCTATTTTTATAGCAACATCAATGTTATTCTCCTTGTCTCGACCCAATAAAACTACACCAAAACTACCTGAAGATAGCTTCTTTTAAGCAATATATCTCCCATTTAAAATTGATAAAGAATGCATATAATTATTTTATTAATCAGTTCTAATTCTCTTCATTTCTCTTTTTTTGAAAATTGTTCATAAATGATTCAATATTATTTGTTTTATTTATCCTATTTTTATTTGATATTTTCCTGATTCCTGAACTAATTTCATATAAAATACTTTACTGAGGATGTATTCAAAATTAAAAATACTACAACTATATTTAGGAAATTCTTCTTTTGATCAAGCTAAGCTATCAAAATAAATTAAATAAAAATAATCATCAACTTAGATTAAGAGTATTGTTATTTTGTAATTTTATTTTAAAATTTCTAATGGAGAAATGTTATAAACTAATTGAACGACAAATGTATGCAGAAGCCTTAAGATTTTTAACCTAAATATTAAAAAAAGAGATTAATAATCCTTAATTGGAAACAATTTATTTGATTCAACATATTTTAAGCTAAAGTTAAAGATATAAGAATTTACAAATCAAAATCTTAGAACTTGTAAAATAAGAATAAAATGAAGAAGAAATGGATGATGATAGATATTCCAATCTAGTGTTGGATTTAATAAATCTACATATAGATTAAAATAATATTTAACAAGCAAAAAACTGGTCTAAGCAATTAAAAAAATATGTGCAAGGAATTTAATCTAATGAGGCTATAATGTATTTGATTGAAAATTTAGATAACATGTTAGCATACAAATAAAAAAATGTTGATTTGAAAGAATAAGTAAATTCATTATTTATCAAAGCTTACAATTTATGAGGAATTATCAGAATTAGAGACAAAGACTAAATATTTTGAATAAGATGGTATGCCTGCTTATTTAATACCAACACGATGGTTTAATAAATGGAAAAGTTATGTAAATGAGAGACCAATTGAATAAACGAATGAAAACCTGAACATTGAAAAAGAAATAGAAGATTTAGAGAATCTATTTAATATCTCAAGTGATCTTGATATAGAAGAATAAATTATTGCTCCAGGTCCAATTAATGGATTTACTTTAATTTAAGTTTAATCAGCTTTGGAATTAGATCCCTTTGGTCCAAAATCATATACCAATTATATTTTAAAAGAAAATATAAGAGAAGGATCCGACTTTATAATAGTTGGACATAAAATATTTGAATATTTCAAATAAATATATGGTGGATTTGAAATTAAGAGATTGATTGTCGAACATAGTTAAACTCATTAAAAATATGTGGATGTAATTAATTTAGTAAAATATTTAAATAGTTGGTTCCAAGAATGATCTAATTTCTAATTTTACCAAATGAAGAAAAACATAGAACAAGATTAATAACTGCAAATAGCAGTGATTTAGTGTTAGATTTGTGTAAGAAAATAAACAGAATATTAAAATTAAATAATGAAGTTAGATGGTGGAAGTTTAATGATTTTTAAAGTTAAGAAGATTTTATTAAAAAATTATAAAGAAGAGAGCTTTATAAATAAGTATCTGCGAAAATATTAGATAAAACAACAATGATAGATGAAATTAATTTTACAAGTTCAGATTTATTTATTTGTGAAATTAGATATGGTAAAGATTGGTAAATAAGTGAAATTAATTCAAAATAGATGTCTACTTTTAAAAGAAAAATGAATGTTTCTGATGTTCCAAAAATTATGAGTGATTCTCGTAAAGGTGTAACAGGATTATAAAATTTAGGAAATACATGTTTTATGAATGCAGCATTACAATGTTTAAGTAATACATATGAGTTAACTGAATATATGGTTAGTAATGAATTCTATCAACATTTAAATTGTGAGAATCCTTTAGGAACAAAAGGAGCTTTGGCAACTGCTTATGCTGAATTAATGAAAATTATGTGGTATGGTAATAATTCATCAGTCAGTGCTTATGATTTAAAAAGAGTGATTGGTAAATTTGCCCCATAATTTTATGGTTATGGTTAATAAGATTCACATGAATTTTTATCATATTTATTAGATGGTTTACATGAAGATCTAAACAAAGTTCTAAACAAACCTTTTGTTAAAGAAGTAGAAATTACAGATGAATCTGATTTTGAAGCTTCTCGAATTTTTTGGAATAATTATATCCTTAGAAATTAGAGTAAGATACAATAATTAATGGTTGGTTAATATAAATCAACTCTTGTCTGTCCAAATTGTCACAGAGTTTCTAAAACATTTGACCCATATATGAGTCTTTCTCTTCCAATCCCAACATATACATTAATTTAACTTTCCTTATATTTTATATATCAAAATGGAAAAATACCTTTAAAAATTTAACTTAATCTAACAAGTGATTAAGATACTTAACATATTGGATAGGAATTATCTAAAGCTTTAAATATTGAATAAGATGAAATGAATTTTATTTTATTAAAAGATCATTTCATAAAAGAAAGAATTAAAAAAAAATAGAATGTAAAATGGATTTAAGAACATGAAGGATAATTATTTGTGTATTAAATTGAAAAAGAATATCATCAATTATCAGATGACTAAATTCATGTTGATTTCTATTATTGTATCAAAACAGATCGATCTAATTATAATGATTCAATCTTCACTTTTCCTAGATAATTTGTACTTCATAAGAACAACAAAATAATTGATATTTATTTTAGAATATATCAACAATTCAAACACAATTTGATATTAATTATTTAAAGTATGGCAGATTAACTTTTAAATTAAGAAGTTTAAATAGAAGACTTTTGTTAAAATGTACCTGAAACTTTAGATGAATTTATGGCTGAAATGAAATTATTCAAAGTTGAACCATATAAATTAGTTTATAGAGGGAAACCAATGGATTTCATGAACTAAGATTCAATTGAAAATTTTAATGTAAAAAACCTTTCAATTCATGTGATATTGAATCCTCTATTTGGTCGATAGGAAATTCAAAATTTGAAATTTTAAAGATGTAAAGATTTTAACATCGAATAAAATCGATAATTAAGAAAAGGAGAATATACATTAGAAGATTGTTTAAGATCTTTTGCAAAAGAAGAAATCTTAGGTAAAGGTGATGAATGGTATTGTAATAGATGTAAACAACATGTTTAAGCTACAAAATAGATGGAAATATATAGAGCTCCATAATTATTGATAGTTCATTTAAAAAGATTTAGATCTGGAAATAATAGAATAAGTAATTATGGTAGTTTCTTTTATTCTGGAGGATCATAAAAAATAACAACAATGGTTCATTTTCCAAAAAATTTAAATATGAACTCTTTTGTACTTTCAAAAGTAAATGATAATGATCCAATAGACTATCAATATGAATTATATGGAGTAGACAATCATTTTGGTGGTTTGGGAGGCGGACATTATACAGCATATGCTTATAATTCCTTAATAAACAAATGGGTTGATTATAATGATTCAAGTGCAAGAATTACATCAGCAGATGTAGAAAGTGAGGCTGCTTATGTTTTATTTTATAGAAGAATAGACTCTCAAAAATGTAGTTTAGGAAGATGATAAATTATATTGGTAATGTATAATATATGATTCAATCTTATTTTTCTTTATATCTTATAATTTTTCTTAATATCCAAGTTAAGATGAATACAATTATAAATGCAATTATACTAATCACATTTAAATAGATCTCCGAAAACAAATAATACCAATTTCCTATATATGGAACAAATGGATCATGATCTGGTCTACAAAGCATAAAATTTAAATTAGCCCAAGTCATTAATGAAATTGGCAACATGTAAATCTATACTCTTATTCACTACTTACTCTTTAATATAGGACATGAGATTCCCATCCAAACATTTAATGAATTAGAAAGGTTTTCCATTCAAAAAAGAAAAATCTTCCACTTAATGTTAATGCCAAAGGACCTGCAAAAGCTCCAAGAAGATGTTCTATCCAAAAGAATTCTACTTCAAGTGGCAATTCCATTCCTGTTGTAACTGGGAATTTAAGTGCCTTTTATTTACTAAATAATTCTATACTGCAAATACTCCATATAGCCACCTTAATTAACAAATAAAAATGACAGCACTAAATTTATGTTTTTTTGTCAATAAAACATATCCCTACATTAATAATACTATATGACATGGATTATTCATAAAAACACCTAAATTATTGTCTTATTCTCATATGTACCTCTTCCTGTATATAATTTATATCCAGTTTGAACAGCAAATGTTCCCCAACATGCAAATCCTATTAAATATTCAAAAATATTAGGTTTCTTTCCCAAAGCTCTTGTTAATTCTTATGAAACTTTTATTTTTGTCCAACATTTTTCTATGATATTATTAAATTCTTACTCATCACAAGAATACATATTATTGCAGATATTGTTGATATTGAAAAACGAAAAGTGTTACTCATATCCTAATAACATTTTGGTCCTCCATCTGAAAAATGTTCATAAGTGTCTGTGTAGATATTTCCATACAGTCCCCAGCGTAAAATATCCATTAATTAAAATTCTATGACTAATTAACCAACAGTTTATGAATAATTACTAATTAGAGATTAAGGAGATGATTTTAGAATTAGAGTCAAAACAGCAATTAAGAAATTTGATTCTATAGCCAATTTCCTCAAATTATCTATGAGAAATATTATTAAAGAAATGGTTAAAGAATTGTTGGCAGTTGAAGAAGAGGAAACTCTTGTCAATACTTTTTATTTTGTAAAATTTAGGAATTCACTCTTAGAAATATTTCACTAGATATGAAGATTAACATTTCAGATTCATGATGCAAAGTTTAAACTTCATTTTTGATTAAGACACACATTTCAATTTTAATGATGATCTCAATTATAAATATATTGCTATTATTTTTACAGAACAAATTAGAAATTACATTAAGGAATAGAATGATAATGGATTAAAAAGATTATGGAACAAATTAAATTTGTTAAAAAAATAAAAAGAAACTGATGAAATTGAAGAAGGATTTTGGGATGGATTAGACACAGAAAATTGTAGTTAATAATCCAAAAATAAAAAATTTGGAAAAGATGTAAATAAATTATATTATATATAGAAACCTAATTAAAATGAAAATGAATTTTGTCATACCAAAAAAGAAATGTAATTAAAAGATCTATTAATTTAATCTTTATAAACTAAAATTTTATAAAGAGAATAAAAGCTAGTTTAAATTACACAAGGATATTTAAAAGAATTATAGTCTTTAAGAGAATAACTATTTCGAAAAGATGCTGCTTTAATTTCTAAAAATGAGCAATTTGAAGTTTCTTTTATAGATTTTACAGAATTTCTTGATCCTAACATTAAAAATTTATTCACCACTCACATTATTGATCTTAAATTCTAGTTTAACAATAAAATTATTGATTATATCAAATTAATGTAAAATTATTATTATTCTTTAGATAGGCTCAAAAAGAGGAAATCTAAAACTATAAAATTTAACTTTAAAAAATGAATTAAAAATTAAATAATATTGATGGTCCTTCTGAACTTTTATAAAAACTTTTCTTGATAGAAAATAATCCATACAGAATTTGGAAATACATTGCAGATTAAAAAGGATACAATTTTTTTAAAGAAGTATTTGAATAATAAAAAGCTGTTTATGGTATAAATTATTAAGAAATCAATAAATTATTAATGACAAACAAACATTTTGAGAGAGAATATTAAAATTATAAAGAATAAATTTTCTAAGAATAATTAATATTTTTTGAAAAAACTTTGTTAGAGATAGAAGAAATTAAGAAAAAAAATATTAGATTAGAATAAGAGAAGTTACAATTTGTAACTTAAAAAGCACTTGAAAAATAAATATATCTTTAATAAGCTTCTAAATATTATGATGAAAAAATTCAACAAGAAATAGAAGTTTTAAATGATTTCCAAAAGTAAGAATTGTAAATGATTGCTCAATAAACTGCTTAAGTTGATAAAATCAAAATTAAATATGCATTTAAATTATGGGTAGCAATTAACAAAGTTCATAAAAGTGAAGACATAAATAAAATTTTAAAAGAAAATTAATATTTTGATGATAAATTAATTACTTTATCATTAAAAAATGAAGAAATCACTTAATAATTGATAATTGAAAAAAAAGCACATATTAATCTAATAGCTAAATCTTCTCTAATGGAATTTGACCTAGAATAGCAAAATAAAGAATTAATTCATTATAAATGTAATTTAAGATAATATCATTATAGTTGTTGTTGATGATTTGAAATAATAAAATGAAGAATTATAGGAATAGTTATAAAAAAAAGAAAGTGAATATAAATTGCTTAATTCATTTTCTTAAAAAATTTTAAGATTAATTGATTCAAAATTGGCTAATGTAAAAATTAAAAAATAAATAGTTAAAACCATAAGACATTAATTTAGATGATAAATCAAAAGAAGTAGTAAAAAGTATAATGAATTCAATAAAATAATTAAATATCAAATCATTAAGATCTATTGAAGAGATAAGGCAACAAGGTTAATTGAATTTAGAAGCTTATGTATTATATTTATTTGATAAAAAGCAAACTCTTACATAAAAATTAAAATATAATTAAGCCACATAAACAGAAGTCGAATAATAAAAATAAACTCAATAAACAAAAACATTAGAATCATAAGAAGAATTCCATAAGAAGCCATATTTGAAATAAAAATCACAAAATAGTAATGTAGAAGAAATACCTAAATAATAATATTTAGATGAAATAATTGAAAAAAATATTTAAATAAACAAACCTAAATTGATAACTAATCAACTTCATGATAATTAAGAGGATTTTCAAAATTAATAAAAAGAATTTGAAGAGCAATCAACTAAATTATCACCATTAAAAGTGTTATAAGAATTTGATTATAAAAATGTAATAACTTAAAAACAATAAACTATTGAAAAAATATAGAAGTTTCAAGATTATCAAGACTATTAATCAGAATAAGTTATTTAATTGTTAGAAGTTAGCGAATAAGTAGAACATGAATAAACTGAAAATAAAATTAAAAATTAAGTAAAAGTAGAAAAACTTATTTAAAAAAATGAAAAATAAAATTAAATTAGAACAAAATGTTCCACTAGTCAAAAATAAGAAAGAAAGGATGATTTGAATTAATCATATTCTCTATGGTCAACAAGAAATAGTAGAGCATTTAAAGTTAGAGGCAACTCTTAGAATAATAATTCTGAAATTCCAGTTGTTCATTAAAAATTGTATGCAGATAGCTAAGAAAAAGCTGAAAGAATTAAAAATTTGAAAAATAATCTTGAAATTTTAGAAAAAAATCATTGGGATAAAATCTTGGATTTATTTAGTTAATAACCATCAGGTAATTATATTTTGAATAAGTGTATTCCTTCAAAGGTCAAAGAAGCTTAATTTTAATTTCTTGAAACAACTAGCTATTTCTCATAACATCACTAAAAATATTATAATTAAACTAAAAATAAGACTCCTAGAAAGGATTAATATAAATCATGGATAATGAAGTAAACTGGACACATAGATAAGATGTTTGAAACATTAAATGTCCTATCAAAGCCTGATTAAGATATACCAAATCAAGATTAAATATTAAACTATTCAACATTAATACCTAATCACATTTTTAATGTTAAAAAGAAAACTTGATTTCATAAATTCCTAATTTCAGAGCTCATATTTTTTTTATCGATTTTAAGTTTTCAAATAAAATTATTATTTTTTATTTACTATTTNAATAATTGAAAAAAATATTTAAATAAACAAACCTAAATTGATAACTAATCAACTTCATGATAATTAAGAGGATTTTCAAAATTAATAAAAAGAATTTGAAGAGCAATCAACTAAATTATCACCATTAAAAGTGTTATAAGAATTTGATTATAAAAATGTAATAACTTAAAAACAATAAACTATTGAAAAAATATAGAAGTTTCAAGATTATCAAGACTATTAATCAGAATAAGTTATTTAATTGTTAGAAGTTAGCGAATAAGTAGAACATGAATAAACTGAAAATAAAATTAAAAATTAAGTAAAAGTAGAAAAACTTATTTAAAAAAATGAAAAATAAAATTAAATTAGAACAAAATGTTCCACTAGTCAAAAATAAGAAAGAAAGGATGATTTGAATTAATCATATTCTCTATGGTCAACAAGAAATAGTAGAGCATTTAAAGTTAGAGGCAACTCTTAGAATAATAATTCTGAAATTCCAGTTGTTCATTAAAAATTGTATGCAGATAGCTAAGAAAAAGCTGAAAGAATTAAAAATTTGAAAAATAATCTTGAAATTTTAGAAAAAAATCATTGGGATAAAATCTTGGATTTATTTAGTTAATAACCATCAGGTAATTATATTTTGAATAAGTGTATTCCTTCAAAGGTCAAAGAAGCTTAATTTTAATTTCTTGAAACAACTAGCTATTTCTCATAACATCACTAAAAATATTATAATTAAACTAAAAATAAGACTCCTAGAAAGGATTAATATAAATCATGGATAATGAAGTAAACTGGACACATAGATAAGATGTTTGAAACATTAAATGTCCTATCAAAGCCTGATTAAGATATACCAAATCAAGATTAAATATTAAACTATTCAACATTAATACCTAATCACATTTTTAATGTTAAAAAGAAAACTTGATTTCATAAATTCCTAATTTCAGAGCTCATATTTTTTTTATCGATTTTAAGTTTTCAAATAAAATTATTATTTTTTATTTACTATTTATATAATTGAAAGACTTTTTATGGCAGCAAACTTGTTGAAATCATGTCTTTAAATATTAATATAATTTTTAAATTGTATGAAACGCATTTTAAGATTTATTTATTTTTATTGAAAAGTTATATAGTCTTTGAAACAAGATGTAACGATTTTAAAAAATGCAAAATTAAATTATTACTATTTGATACGAATTCAATTTAGAATAACAAATTTACTATCTTTTTAAATTATACTAACTATCAATCCTTTTTTGTTTTGATTTGCCTTTATAATTTAATGTATAAAAATTCTTCCTTATTAAATATCGAATTTCCAGTATAGTTCTTTTCTTCTTCTTTTTTTGAAAATATTTAGTCTTTTTTGAATAATTCAATCATGAGATTTGTGGTAGTAAAATGATATCAAAAAGAAATTTATAATGGAAGGTTGAAGAGTATGACTTAAATTTTTTAATTGAAAAAGAATTGGATAAAATGATAAAATTTGATAATATCTTTAAGTAAATAATGAGAACAATGATATTTGAATAAGAAATTCATGAAAGAGTTAAAAGAATTTAGAGATATAAATAAATTTAACAATAATCATAATTTAGTTATAAACTTCTTTTTGATAAGATTAGATGAGACATAATTACTAGAATGGATTATCTAATATGTGTATAATATTAATATATATAATAAATGTATTAAGTCCCCCCTATTATCATTATATTTTTAACCTGATGTAATTGGGGATTTGATTTTAATATTTTTTTTTAATTACTTTTCAATATCAGTTACATGTTGAACAGTAAGAGAGCGCGTTGGATGTTCCAAACAATAGCTGATTCATTTCGATTGAAAGATGCAAATGTTGTGTAGGTGAGTTTTAAAGTGTTATTTGTTAGGATCTCTTAAAAGATAAGTCTCGACTTGAGAAATTCTTAGAAGGAGAAGGTCCTGCAAAGATAATAATATACTATTAGATATAAGATAACTAACAAAATGATGAGATCAAGGAAAATCAAAATGAGCCATCCCTTTTTATTTAATATGGAGATCAAGAGAAAATCAAAGAGAAAGCTATGTGGTTTTTAAGAATGTAAGTATAAATAAACATTCATATACATATTATCATCCATATATTTAAAAATTAAATCTTTATGAATTTTATTTAGGACTCCAGAAGGAAAGACATCTGTAAACCTTAATGAAACATATGATAACTAAGTAATTTGGGGAGAAGTATCACCATAATCAATTTCTTAATTGCATACAGTTATGGAGAATGTATACTACCCATTAATAATTAACATGATGGATGAGCGGGAATGGGGATAATGTGATGAAGAATCTTTAAAGGAATTCCATAATCACACTAAGAAATTTTCTTAGGAAGTTTCAGAAGCAGTCAAATTAATGAGACCAGGGTAAGAGTTATTCAAATTTGATCCAGAAGATGTATAAAAATATGTGAATTCAAATAATGAATAAGAAAGAAATTAATTTTATGAAAGAAAATTTGCTTAATGGATTGCTATTATCAATAATAAATTAGCAGAAGATTAAAATCCAAAAAAAGATAGTCCAGATGCTGGTCCAGAAGTTGAATTAAATTATTGGAAAACAAGAATGTAAGAAATTACAAATTGGTCTGAATAATTAAAAGGCAAAGATTTTGTTACTGTCAAAACCACATTACAAAGAAATAAATAACATGATAAATCAACTAATAGAGGAGAAGAAAATATTAATAAACTTATTATGGAGTATAGTAGACTTGATCTTTTACTTACTGATAAATTAAATGAAGCCAAAGACAATGTGAAATACTTATCAACCTTAGAAAAGTTCTTAGATCCATTATATAAAGGAACTCCTTAATAAATTATTGATACATTACCAGCATTAATGAATGCAATTAAGATGATTCATACAATTGCTCGTTTTTATAATACAAATGATAAAATGACTGGTTTATTTGTTAAAATTACTAATCAAATGATTAAGAATTGTAAAGAGAGAATCTTAAATGGAGGAAAGAACCAAGATATTTGGAATAGAGATCCATCTGAATTAAATGAAGTCTTGAGATAATGTATTTAACTCAATAGAGAATACAAAGATAGTTATAAAGAAACAAAAGAAAAAGTTGCTGATATGCCAAAAGGAAAAACATTTGATTTCCCAGAAACCTAAATATTTGGTAAATTTGATACTTTTGTCAGAAGATTAGTTAAATTGATTGACATATTTTAGAACATTTAATAATTCTAGGCTCTTGCAAAACATAACTTAGAAGGTATGGAATAACTTACAGCTAAATTTAATTAAATTATTAAAGATTTCAAAGCAAAAAATCATGATTTGTTGGACACAAATAGCAACAAATTTGATAGAGATTGGGTCGAATTCAATGTTGAAATATCTCATTTAGATATGCAATTATAATCATTTATTGATAATAATTTCAATAGATTAAGAACTATTGAATATTCTCTTAAATTATTAAAAAAGTTTGAATAAACAATAAAGAGAGATTAATTGAAGAATTCATTGGTTTCTAAATATAA